GCTGGCATGTGGTGCTGGGGGATTGAACCGCGGTCCCTGGGCTTTGCTAAGCTTGTTCTAAGTAGGTGCTTTAGACCACTGAGCCATCTCACCAGCCCCACTGGGCTCAATTTTTGTAAACTATTTTCCTAAGAAATTATTTCATCTAGGATTTCAGACTTATTTGTAGAGGCTTTCAAAATAGCTTTTGTTTAAAAACACAAAACTGTCTGGGCCACAGGTGCCAGCACATGTAATCCCAATACTCTGGGAGGCTGAGGGGAGGCTCTCAAATTCAGTTAGGCCACTTAAACCTGTCTCTGAATTTTAAAAAATGGCCAAGGTGGTAGCTCAGCATGGAGGTTGTAAGTTCAATTCTTAGTGCTGCAAAAGCAAAACAAACTCAGAAGAAAAAAAATAAAAACCTCTCCTATAATATATAATAACCTCTTTCTATGATGGTTATTTCTTTTTATATTGTGTTCTCCTTTTTGTCTTAAAATTACATAATGCTTTGTCTACTTAGGGGGAAAAAAACATGGCCTGAATTTTAGTTGTGTGTCTCAATTTGTTTTTTCCTTTGTTTCCTTTTTTTTTTTTCTAGTTTTCTGGCTTGGGTATTTTATTGTTTGCCTTTTACCCGATATGTTTAAGGCTGTTCCAAAAATTCTGACGTGTAGTGTTCTTGTTTTCTTTTTCTTGTTATTTTTAAGAAATTCTGTACTTTCTATATTTTGCTGTTTATTCAAGAGTTAATGGAAGCTCTGTAAAAAAAAATTTTTTTTTGAACCCAGTATTTTCCCACTATATCTCTGGGCTTTTAGTTTTTGTTTAGTCAAAATGTTTATAGTTCCTGCTTTGCCTTGTCTCCTAATTATTTAAATGTTCCTTGTGTGCTTGAGAAGAAACTGTATTCTCTATTACCTGGGTATGGAATTCTGTACATATCTATAAACTTTATTTGTTACTGAGGGCTTTCAAATCTTTCTTTTTCCATAAAATCATCGACTCAGGTTTCCCTTTTCCTCGCATATACTGCAGTTTCTTTTATATTAAATGTAGTTGCTGGGCCCAGGAAGATGGCTCAGTGGAATAAGCACTTCCCTGGCAAGCGCAAGGGATTGATTGAGTTCAATCCCCGGTTCCGCAAAAAAAAAAAAAAAATGAAAGTAGTTGCTGCCTTTTGGTGACACTCAGACCATTTAGAGCTTCATCCTAGATGATGACTTGTAACGCTAGTTGGGTCCATGTGTCAGACTGGGTACTCCCTGGCCTAGGCTTTTCAATGGCAGGGAGCACCCTGGCTTTGAGTATCTAGAGCCATGAGGAAGGTTTGTAAAGGCAGCCACCTTCCCCTCGCTCACCTCCTTTGCACTCCTGAATCGTCTGTTGGATGGTTCAGGCCTTTGGGTAGTGTAATATTTGCATATGCAGGAGAGGAGAGCCTGTGGGGGCCCCTAGCCTACATGTGGCTGCCAGGAGTCACTGGACTGGGCTGTGAGGCCACATCTGAGCCAGCAAGGCCACCACTCATGTGGTCGGCTCCCTTCCTACTCTAAGGATGGAATGGTCTTATATTTCTGCCCATTTACCAGCACAAAAAGATTTCACCAATTCCTCATTTATATGCCTCCTTGTCTATTGAAAGTCAAATCAGATGGAGCCTGGTGTAAATAAATCACTGAATTTTGGCCTTATAGTTATGAACAATTATGAAAAATTGAAAAGCTAGGAAGTGGTAAAAGCTCTGGGTGTGAGCTCATGTAGGGATTTGAAGTATTCTGTGAACACAGCAAGCCTGTGTAGCTCAGCTCCCTCGGGTTGACTTAAGCAGCTGCTTAAGCATTTGAGACTAACAGTGCCATATTTTATGAACCAACTGACTTAACCATTCCTTCAGTTTAGAACAAAATTTGTTTGATTATTAACAATACAGGTTCATTATGCAAACTTTTAGAAACCCAAAGAGATGAATAAGAATTTAAGTCCTTCATCACAACTGACTTATTTTTTTTTTTAAATTTTATTTATTTATGTGTGTGTGTGTGTGTGTGTGTAGCCAGCTCAGCCCACCAGGGGGCGGGCTGGCTGGCATGTGGTGCTGGGGGATTGAACCATGGTCCCTGGGCTTCGCTAAGCTTGTTCTAAGTAGGTGCTTTAGACCACTGAGCCATCTCACCAGCCCCCCTGACTTCTTATCCTGTGCCGAGAGCAGTGGACTGCCAGTTGTGGCTGTCTCACATGTCAAGTCTTGGGGAACATACTTTTGTTCTTTATTTAAGAATACCTGGAGCTTGGGGTATCATAGCTGAGTGTCTCGGCCCCTGCCTCGCAAGCACAAAATCCTGAATTCAATTTTTGGTACCAAAAAAAAATTTCTTTTTTCCAGTTAGTATAAAGATTAGTAAATCAGTCCATCACTAAACAGTCTATCTTAATTTTGGTGTTTGGCCTACAGAAAAATACGAAGACCTCAGCTCTTCAGATGAGTCCTACCCTGCTGCTCAGAGACAGAGGCCTTGTCGGAAAAAGGGCCTCAGCATCCATGAGGGACCACGAGCCTTGGCCAGGATCACAGCCATCGGGCTTGGAAGACAGACCCCACAGCCCCACTATGGTGAGCATACAACATTTTTGAGGGTTCCACTTACATATCCTCCCAGCCGCCCCAGCCTGTCTTGAGAACAGAATCCCTTTCTGGACCTCAAATGTGGTTCCCTGGGTCCTAGGCTGCAGTGGGACCGGCAGCTGGGCCTTGTATGTGCAAGAGTAAAACTCCCACCACAGAAACAAGAATGAACTTGCGTTTCATACACCACACAGTTCGTCTGTGTGTGGACATTCCTGGGCTCTGCCTGCATCCTCATCTGGAGATGCAACTTTTGAGGAAGGAACTTACTGTGCTGCCCAGGCTGGCCTTGAACTCCTGGCCTCAAGGGATTCTCCAGCATGTGCCACGGTCCCCTGGTTTTTTTAAATGCAATACTGGGATTGAGCCCATAGTCTCCACACTGAGCTACATCCTCAGCACCCTTTACCCCTTTCTTTTTAAGTTTTGAGACAAGGTCTTGCTAAATTGCCCAAACTACTCAAAAAGTAGTCCTCCTGCCTCAACTTCCAAGAGTGCTAGAATTACAGGTATACACTGCCACTCTCAAATTCACTTGTTTATTCAAGGATCATGAATTTTTTATTGATCTTATTGTTAGTCCAGGGCCTTTTTCCTTCTTGTTTAACCTGGTCTTTTGGCGGGCGTGACTCAGTGGGGACTGGTCAGCTCCTAAGTGCTCGTGTTTGAAAAGCCTCTGAGGACACAGAGGCCTGGGAGATGTGCGTATGAACACACTCGTATGCATGTGTGGTTTCCCACTGGCTCAGGGGTCTGTAGGGCCAGTGTGCTACCTTCCTTCTACCCTTGAGCAAGCAGCAGCCATGGTCCCAAAATGGCTGGGCTTGCCTGAGCACTGCTGCACCAGACCGTTTCCTCCAGACAAACTGGTCTCCAAGCTCCTCAGCCAAGAGACACTTATTATACAGAGAGGGTGGTAGCCACCCATCTCCCTGCCTTCCTGCTCCCTGTGTCCCCTCTCACCCTAGAGAGAGGATAGTCACTCTTGTGTTCTTGAGTATTCATGTGCCCCATCTTGCACACAGAACAGGTGCCTCCACGGGATTATGTGACTTTCACCAGCAGTGAGGAAAATGCCCTAGAAGGCCTCTGCTACCGGGATGTCACCTCCCCCATCAATGAGCAAGATGTGGAGAGCAGCAGCAGCAGCAGCCGGGGTACGCCCCACCTCCTGCCAGGCTCCCTCAGAGAGTGGGAAAAGGTCTAGAAGGCCCTAGTTCTTGTGAGGAAAATCAGAGTGTCGGGCAGGTGAGGAGAAACATCCGGGTCAGTCCCCATGTAGGCTGGAGAGCCACTGCAAGTCCAGGGCTCAGCTCTGTGCCAGCAGGCCCTCAGCCTGCACAGCTGCCCTCCTGAGGGCACCTGTGCTGCAGCCTCCCACCATATCATGCCTGTTCTAAGCTCTTGGCCTTTAATCACAGAAGAGTGCTGATGGCCAGTGTGGGGTGGGACAGAAGTCAGCACAGAACCAGTAGCAGGGCTTGGTGGCTGAGTGGCAGGTAACTTCACAGGGCTCTGGGGAGCCTCCCACCCCTGTCCACTTGAGTGAGGCCTGTGGTCAGGCATTCTGTCTTCCCTGCCAGAGGAGCCTGCTTTCTGTGCCAGCTTTGGGGCCCTGCGGAGGAGCAGCAGCAGTGAGGGCCTGGCGCGGGCCCAAGGGCTCAGCAGTGAAGCCTCCTTGGAGAGCAATGAGGTAACTTCTCTCCCTGGATTTCCCATCAGTGTTCTCTCCCTTGGTGCTGGGGAACACCTGACACGGGATAAGCCCTGTTCTCTTGGAGCACAGCCTGAGCTCAGATGGTACAGGCTACAGAGTCACTAAGGAGGCCTCTGGGTGGCAGTAGGGAGTTTACTGAAGGGTGTTCCAGTCCTACCCACCCCAAAAGACAACACAGGGGCACATGGCAAAACTAGAGGCATGGACTGGAAGCAGGTCCAGCCATTACCTTGTGGGCTGTGAGTACCAAGTTGCTCCAATATACCACTTCCTGTAGGACTCAGATCACACTCGCAAAAGCTCTGTTCGCAAGCAAACCAAAAGTTATATGAAGACCAAGAGTCGTTACAGCAACTGCGAGAGCCAGTGGCCTCCAAGCACGACTTCTGGGGCAGCCTGCACTCCAGGATCTGTCCCCCATGCAAAGCTGTCCCCCTATTCTGGGCCCCAGGTAAGCCCTTTTGTGAAGCTGATGGTTGCACTCCATGATGCGCCTCCAAGATTTGAGGGGCATTTCTGTGAGGGGCTTGGATAAAATAGTGTGGTAATGACTTCTCCAAATAACCCCAAACCTGTGGGCTCAGAGAGGATTCCTGATGGTCAGGAGCCCACTGCAGTGTATTCTTTCTGCCCTCTGGAAAGCTGTGTGTTCCCTCACTGGCCATACTCAGCTTGGCCTCCACAAGCTTAGGGAGGAAAAAAACGACCAATTTCAGAGCTGCTTCCAGTTGGTAACAAGATTGATGCGAAGCAGAACCCTGTGACAGCACATAGCACACACATAACCAAAGCCAAGGCAGCTTCCTCATGGGGGTCACTTGGCTGAGCACGTAGGATCACAGGCATTTGAGGAGCAGGATGTGGACCTCCACAGCACAGTGGTCTCATCTACTTTAATGTGGTTGATGGGGCTGGGGAGATGGCTCAGTGGACTAAACACTTCCCTGGCAAGCGCAAGAGTGTGAATTCAATCTCCAGTGCTACAAAAAAAAAAGTGCTTTTGGGCCTGCCAGTTAGCTCAGTTGTTTAAGCACCTGCTCATGCAAATGCAGTCAGGCACAGGATACCGAAGTTCGATCCCACCTCCACTTGCATTATCAGACCCGCCCTTAAGGTAGCCTGAACCACCACCCCTCCCCCAAAAAAGAATCATACTTTAACGTGGCTGTTTGAGTCCTGATCTGTGTGGGCGTGTTAAGGGGTAAGCATTTGCTCTTGACTTGAGAGAGAAGATGTGCTCAGTAAGCCTGTGGGCTCTGGCGCCTGTGCGCCCCGCTCTCTGAGCAGGTGTTCCTCTTGGCTCCTCAAGCACATATGATTAGAGTTTATGGTCATAGTGATCTTAAGATGGTTTCTTAAGGAAAATAGTGGGGTAACAGGCTTTGAAAATTTGTTCATTCAAAGCAACAAAAAACATAAAAATAGAAATCACGGAGTTGGAAAGTACAACTAAAATGAAAGTTTCACTAGATGAGCTGAACAGCAAGCCAGAGTAAGGAAATTTGAGATAGGCTGGTGGAGGGATCCTAGCTGAGAAACAGAAGAGTGAAGGAAAACTTGTGCCGCACCATCAGGCATACGTAGGGGTGTGCGCTACGCAGCTGCCCATATCCCTAACAGTGAGCAGCACAGTCTGCACTCAGAGCACCGCAAACACCAGCTATGTAAGTGCAGGGAGAGACACATGTAGAAGTAGAAATCAAACCATCAGCTAAAGAGAATTCCTAAATGAGAGGAAAATGACCTATCACAAGATTTTCAGATTGACTGCTTCCTGGCACCAGACATCCACGAGGACCACCATCGCATGCCCAGAACATGTGCTGCGTAGCTAAGCACCCTGCCCTGCCTGCAGCACTGCGTGTTCACGGGCACTGTGGGCTCTGCCCTCACAGACAAGTCTTGTCTTTGGAGCTGGGTTCGGGGCATCAGCATGGCTTAGAACATCAGTAAAGCCTGTTCTTGTCCCACGGTGCTCCTGCTGCTGCTCGTCATTATGCTTTAGGACCTTGCTACACTGCTGGAGCAGATTGGGTGTCTGAAGTACCTGCAGGTGTTTGAGGAGCAGGACGTGGACCTCCGCATCTTTCTGACCCTCACTGAGAGTGACCTGAAGGAAATCGGCATCACGTGAGTCTCCCTCACTTCCACCAGACGTAGTGCTTTGCACCAGGTAGTGAGTGCTTCCCGGCTGTGCGAAAGCCCTATTACGCTGTCCTTGATACCTGGCTGACACTGCTGTGCTCAGGGCCCTTGGGTGTATCTGCCAGTTTACTGTTTGGTGGTTTGTAATTAGGATTTTATTACTTTTATTCATGATTGGAACATACTTTATAAATGATAATTACCAGTTTTACTAGAGAAATTAGAACAATTTAGTAATGTAATTTACACTGTGTAGTGGTATGTTTTATATCCAAGCTCTCAAGCATGTATTTTATGTTTTAGCATAAAATCCAAATAATTTAAGTCTTCCTTCCTGAATGGACACAAAGTCGGTACCCTTAATCCTAATTCCTGGCGACTATGGTAACACCCCCAAGTGCTCTCTCATTTCTTACTGGGTCTGGGCAGCAGTGCCCTGCACATGAACTCTGTTTCTTCACGTGGCTCCAGTTACTTCCTGGATCCTTTCCTCCCTGCAGGACTCCTGTGAGCGCCTCTTGCAGGGCAGCTCCAGTGGTCACAGACTCCATGGGCTTTTGGTTGTCTGAGAATGTCTTGGTTCCCCCCCCATGTTGGAAGGACAGTTTAGCTAGGTAAAGGGCTCTTGGTGCTAGTTTCTCGTGAGAAATCTGCTGGGAATTTTATGAAGACCCCTTGTGTATGAGCTGCTCCCAAAAGTATTTTGTGAATGTTTATTTTTTAAATATATATTTGGTACAGGATCTACAGGGTCTCACTGGGTAGATCAGACTCGCAGTGATTTTCCTGTTTTCAGTCTCCCAAATGCTGGATTACAGGCAGGTGCCACCAAGCCCAGTCTCAATTGCCTGTCTCAGGGTGCCCTGGGGGAGAGGCTGGCACGGCTTGCAGGAGATCAAACCCCGGGCCAGCCCGAATCCTGGGCCGGCTGCCATGCTCTGATTAGGCAGGTGGTTTTTTGTTTTGTTTTCTCAGAACGGGGGATTAAACTCGGGCCCTTACACTTGCTAAGGAAGCACTTATTCCACTAAGCCATCTCCTCAGCCCATAAGCAGGCACTTTAATCTGCTGAGCTATCTGGCCAGCCCTGAAAGTGTTTTTCTGATGTGTCTGAATATTACTGAGTCCATATGTGTACGTGCCCACTTTTCTTCTTGGGATTCCTGATGTATGTTAGCACGCCCCAGATGTCCTTTAAGCTCTGTGCATTCTCTTTTTTGTTCCTCAGACTCAAGTTTCTCTTGTCTTCTAATCTGCAGAGTCATTCTTTTCCCTGCTTATATCTGCCTTTTAATGCCATTTTCTTTGCTAATGGGGATGGAACCCAAGGCCTCACACATGCTAGGCAATCACTCACTACTGAGGAACATATCCAGTCTTTAATTTTGAGACAAGGTCACCTTAAGTTGCCCTGGCTGGCTTCAAATTCACCATCTTCCTGCCTCAGTCTGTCTATTGAGTAGCTGGGATTAATCGATGTGCCACCATGCTGGGCTAAGAGCTGAACTTAATCTAAACAAATGGTACTTACCTCCAAGCCTTCAGTGGATTCCAGAGTGCCAAGATTCACGTTTCTTCGAGTACGGCTGTGTAGGTGGGGAGACAATTCCCAGTGAGCTTCCCCTTGAGGGCCTTTTGAGTAGGCAGACCTGGCTGTCCACAGCCTAGAGCAAGGCGCAGGGGGGCGGAATGGCAGGGCAGGCTTTTGACAGCTGTTTCTGTCCTCTGCCTCAGCATCCAGCCCTACCCTTCTTATAGATGGGAGTTCCCTAGGGGACAAGTTTGGTTGAGCTGTGGAGGCTGTATGTGTGTGTTTGAGAGAGAGAGTGAGAGTGTGAATATGTGTGTGTCAGTGTCAGCTACACATCCTTCTCTGATTATCCCCTCAGGTTGTTTGGGCCCAAAAGGAAGATGACCTCAGCCATCGCGCGCTGGCACAGCAGTGCCCGCCCCCCCAGTGATGCACTAGAGCTGGCCTATGCGGACCGGCTAGAGGCTGAGATGCAGGAACTTGCCATCCAGTTGCACAAAGCAAGTGGGGAGAGTATGCTGAGGGGCCTTGCCTGGGGAAGGGGAGGTGACACCTGAAGCCAGTAAGTAAGGGAAGCTCCCAGATAACATAGCGACATTGTCACACAGGCAGAGGTGGGCTTAGGGGGAGCCACTGAAGGTAGGGGCCAGAGAGTATTGGGCTATAGGAAGGAACCAAGGCAACACACCAGAGTGAGGCTCTGAGAAGGAAGACAGGATGGGAGAGACAGGGTCTGGAACAGCAGAGTAGACATAAGGCCCCTGAGGAAGACCTTGCCCAAGTCACCAGGGCCTTGGCCCACACCCAGCCTGGCCCTGTACCCTGCAGCGCTGTGAGGAGGTAGAGGCCGTGCGTGGCCAGGTGTCCCAGGAACAGGAGCTACGGGCTGTGGTGGAGAGCTGCCTGCTGGAGCAGGATGGAGCCCGAAAGGATGTGCACACCCAGCTGCAGGAGACCTGGGCCCTGGCCCAGCATGCTGTGCTCATCCTGGAGCAGCTACGGTGAGTAGATGATGCAGAACCCGGGCAGCTGCCCTGCAGGGGTGCAAGCTTTTGCTGCGCCTGGCACCAGCCACTGTCCGTTTCTTTTAGGCCCGAGGTCCTTTCAGTGCCCCCTGCCCTTTCACTCAGGACAAACCCGGCAGCATAGCACACTGTGGGCTCAGCATGGGCCTCTCCTGTTCACCTGGACAGCTTCCAGGAGTGCTTGCCAGGCTCATGCAGACCAGCTGGGGAGACAGGACCAGTGTCCTTTGCCTTTGAGAGTTCTGGTGGGGGGCTTAGCAGCAAGGTTTTCACCTCATCCACACTAATCTTTCATTTGGCAGAGCCTGTCAAACTGAGCTGTCCACCCGCATGAGGCAGGACCAGACTCCCAGCACAGCTGCCATGGGCCCAGTGCTACCCCCAGGAGGTAAGGACAGCTACAGCCTGGTTCTGCAGGGGTAGGGGTTCCACGTGACTGATTTGGTCACCCCACCCTCCCAGTGTCCAACAGATATGGAACCAGACCCACTTCCTTACCTGTACACCCTAGTGGTGGAAGGCATGGCAGAGAGAAAGGCCCTGCTATCTTGAGACCTCCAGCAACTGCTCTCCAGCTAGGGCCCAGGGCCCTTCACTTCCTCCTGGGTCTGAGCCTGGTTGGCATTTAGTGCTAGAGAACACTTTCTAATCTTGTGGACTCCAGTTGAGGAGAGTGACACAACACCCCACCTTGGCCTCGGGGTGGGGTTCATTCATATACCCATATGGATGGGGAGAATCTCCTGGTTCCAGGAGCTCAGTACAAGAGGCAGAGCCTGTGGGGACACACCTACGCCAACCCCATCTTCTGCCCTACAGACTCCAAAAGCTGGCATACATCCCTACAGGCCATGAGCCTCCTGGAGCTGTCTGGAGTTCTAGAAGGCCGAGTACATGAAATGGGTGAGTCTCCAGGAGAGCAACAAGGCTTTGTCCCCAACCAGGGACCAGGCTATGGTAAACGGAACCTCTGTGGCTGAGGTCATGACTACGGTGGGGCAGGTTCCACACTGTCAGTTCAGACTCATGGGTATCCTCGCCCCAAGGTTATCCATTTCTGGTGCCCTATACCCCTTCCCTGCTGCTGCCCAGATTTGCCAGAGAATGCTATCCCTCTGTGTTCCCAGGACAAGCACTGTGCTCAGTGACCCAAAGCCTGGAGAAGCTGCAGGTGCTAAATGGGAAGAGGTGGCGGGAGCCCTAGCCCCAAGGGATGGTGAGTGGGCCTGCTCTGGGCAGCTGTACAGGCAGGTGGGAACTCCTGGACCTGCCTCAGTCTTCCTCTCCCTTCTCACCAGGGCCTTGCCTTTTTCAGAATCTGACGTTGGGTGATTGATCCACCCTGAAGCTACATGCCAGGAAGACGAGGGCAGTGAGCAGGCAGCTGCCACAGCCAGGTTCCAGGTAGGGCCAAGGATCAGGCCCCAGAGGAGCAGCCTGCAGCGAGGCAGGACAGGGACTGGCCCCTGTTGGGGCAGTGCAACAGGATGTGGGCCTGATGGTTAAGATCCCGAGCTTGTGGAATGCTTGACCCACACCAGGCGAGGCATGGGGAATATGCATATCCCCCTAAATGCAGGTACCACACGTAAGTCTGACCTTACAGAAGAGGAACAGGAGAGGACCAGCACTACTTAGAAAATGTGCCATTGGTTTGGAAAATAAAATTTAACATCAGCAATTCTGGTCTTATGACATGCTGAATTGATGAACATGCCAGCAGTCCAAGTATAACGTAGCAACTCAGGGCTTTGGGTGAATAGCACTGGTTCCTAGCCCTTGCCCCTTCCCAGCAAGCTTTCCTGATCATGGGGGCAGGGTAGGGGGAAGCTGGCAGGAACGCCTTCCTTACAACGTATTTTCCAGCCACACAAGTGGCAGTCTTTTTGAGATGTGGGCCCAGAGGTGAACTCTGTCCCGCTGTGGTCTCTCTGCACACTAAGACTGCTTCCAGATGATGCCCTGGAGCTACTTGCAGACTACGCTGAGACTGGAGAGAGGCAGGCTCTGCCCAGTACAGCTGGAGCCACCAGCTCAGGAAAGGGAGCCTGAAGCTCAGAACAAGGTGATGAGAGGTTGGCAGTGCACAGGCAGACCAAGGGGACAGATATCTCTTGTGTAGTGCCCTGTCCTGGGGACTTGGTCCCTATTGGGCCTTGCAAAGAGCCACCTGCTCTAAGGCAAGGGGGCTGGAGAGGCACTTGCCAAGGCCAGTGCTGGGCCTCATTTCAGAAGAGAAGGTCTAGCAGAAGAAAAACAACTTTATTGACTCTCCTTCAACAGCATACACAGCTGGGGCCCCCGCAAGAGCCTCACTGTCAGCAACCAAGTCACAGTGGGCAAAGTCGCTTTAAAGCCTCACCAGAGTTCATACCATGAAAAACAAAAGCCAAAAGCACTAAACCCAGCAACAACCAGAATTAACAATACAATATCCTACCCAAAGCTGGCTCTTCTCCAGGCCCTGGGGCTGACTCTGGAAAGGCGACATAACAGTCCACCTCCATCAGAAACTTTCCAGACTGGTCCAGAGCTGTGCTGCATTAGGCCAGGGCCACTGACCCATCTGAGATGGGAGTTGGTCCTAGGGATTGCTTCAGGCAGTGGAGATAAGCAGATCCCATGCAGTCACCAAAGGGGCTGCAAACAAACTCCCTGGGAGTTCCAGGGTCCCTGAAAACAGCCCCAGCTCCCCCAGGGACCACCTTAGGAGGAAGCAGGGAGTAGCTTCGCCAGGGCAGCCTTCTGCTTTTCTGTGGCTGCAGCCAGCGCCTCAGCCAGCTTCTCTTGGGGCATTATGTTGAGTACCTTGAGGGCAAAGAGGAGCTGGCACTTGGCGGTGCTGACAAAGGCGTTGCTCAGGAAGTTGGGAAAGCCTCCGACGCGATCCTTCTGGGTGTAGAGGGGGACGCGTACAAGGCCCAGCACCTACAGGAGAAGGCCAAGGCTGAGGCCAGACCCTCCACAGAGAGGCCAAGCCCTGGCAGGAGGAGCATATCTGCCAGAGGAAGAGTAACCAGTCTTGCCAAGAGCAATGCAAGCGTTTCTGGGCCCAACCCTATGCACGCCTCATTCTGTACCTGTCCTCCTGGAAGCCTCAAGTGCTGCCCTCTCACACCCCTGTTCCCTGAGTCTCAAATCCAGACTGCAAAAATGGCGAATCTTGAGACATTTTGGATTGCTTTTCATCAGTTTCCCATCTCCCAAGACTAGCAATGCAGGCAACAAGGCAAAGAAAACAGCCCTGGGGTAGCCCCAGCCCCAGCCCACCAGGTTGCAGTACCCTCGGAAGCGGAAGGACGCGTTACCCATCGGAACCTTCCGCGGGGCCAGAACCAAACCCCGGGAGGGCAGGAAAGGGCAGGGGAGGTCCTGCGGCTGCCCCACCTCCAAGCCGTGGTCTCGAGAGTGCACCGCGCTCATCTCCACTGCATGCAGCTGCTCCAGCGTGAGCTGCCGAGCGTACAGGTGAGCCACCTCGCGGTGCGGGCCCTCTGTCAGATGCGAACTCAAGTAGTCGGCCTCGGTAAGGCGCAGGCGGCCCAGGCCCAGGCCCAGCACCCGGTTCAGTCCGTCCTCCAGCGACCAGAAGCGTCGGTCCACGAAGCCCCCGGGGAAGCCCAGCAGCCCATCAAAGCGCATCTGCATCTGCAAGGGGAGCGTGAGTCACAGACGCGGAGGCTGTGCTGTGCCCTGCCCGTGCCCGCCCGTGGCCTCACCAACAGCGAGAAGCGCATGGGGATGCGGCCGAAGAGCTGCCCGGGGTTGGCGGCGTACAGTATGGCGTGGCACGAGTGGCTCCAGCCCGGCCCCAGGCGCATTGCGTCTTCCCGGCTGATCTGCTTTAGCTCCGGAACCGACACAGCCGACATCTTGACCCTCCCCGCCTCACCCTGGCAGCCTTTATGTGCATGCGCGTCCCCGCCCCCGGGTCCCGCCAATCCGGGTAGTCGCACTCGAACGTGCCACTCTCCACCAATCATCAATGCGTCCCGGAACCAGTCCCAGGGGGACCCAAACACCTAGAGAGGCAGAGTAAGACAGCAAATTAGGCTTTAGCGGTGTCCACATAAACTACCAAGGTACAGTGGAGTGCGCTGGTTTCGTGCGTTGTGGTCTGGGGTGGTCCGGGGAAGCTGGATTTGGGTTGCTGGCGCCGCAGGCAGGCTATTAGGTATGGTTTCCTCACCCTCATGGTGCGGATTTCACCCTGGGACCCTACTCTGCCTGCGCGGGTCCATCCACAAGTGATGAGGCCCTTCTCCCCGGAAGCCCCTGGATCGGTGTTCTTGTCTGTCCTGGACATCAGGATCTGGCAGAGCTCCCCTTCCCCTCCCCAGTCCCCGAAGACAAGTCAGCCCTGGTAGGTGGGTTGGCTGGCAAGGAGCCGGGACTCCCAGCACTCAGACTTGAATCTGGAGCCCAGGGACTTGCCAGCCCAATGTCCCTAGGTTCTCCAGGCGTAATTAACGAAGGCACCCAGTGATTAGTGACAGGCAGGACCCCACTGTCCCCCGCCCAGTATCTACAATAGAAAGCCACTGGATTCCACTGGGAAGAAGGGCCTTTGGTACGTACCATGTATTGCTGTTTAAGTCCTTGGGCCTCAGAAGCATGGGGAAAAACAGTTCAAAGGAGAATGGGGTCCCATGACTCCCACGGTGACTAGGCTGACCTCACCACCAGCAGGTCCCACGTGTCATTTTCCACCCCACAACACACATGGCTTTGAGGAGAAGCTCTCTTCATCTGCACTAGCAGGCTAGATACTACGCTGGGCCCCAGCCGCAAGGAGCTCTGCAGTTAGGGCTTTCTGGGTAGCACAGGAAGTGTTGTCCTCAGAAGGGCGGAAGGGCTGAGAGGTGGGACAGCATTGGCAGGATCTGCTGGAAACTCATTAGAGCCATGGTGGATCAGGAGGCCAGGGGATAGGAACTAGACAAGGAGCTTCTCCTATTGTGACCAACCGGGGCTTACAAAGGCCAGCTGCAGGGGGAAGTCTAGGGTTCTAAGGATGTGACCATGTGAGCCCAGGTCACAAAAGAGAAAGGATCCCTGTGCCTCCACACCTTCCCAACACATTAATCAGGGCTGAGTCTGTTGGGAGAATGAACAGGGAATCCAATCTGGCTCACATACCTCCCCTGACACCCACAACAGGGCTGTATGAGGCCCAGGTGTTCACAGCAGCTGCAGGGTAAGGGATGGCAAGCATTCCCAGGGGCAGGGATGGAACCAGGACACTGGTTTTCTCTGCTCTTAAGGATTGCAGTCAAAAAGGGACAATGCAGACAGTTTCAGCTATTTACCTGGTTGCTGTAGACCCAGTGTGGTGGTGGATAACCTGGTGGCAGGGGAGCATGGCTGAACTGCATGGGTTCTAGCCTCCAAACCCACCATCTCCTTATAGCCAAACCAGTTGCTCAGCACTCAAGAAGCTGAGGCAGGATTACTACAAGTTCAAGGCCAGGCCGGAATACACAGCAAGATCCTGTCTCTACAAACAAAAGAACCTGACTAGTCTCAGCAGGGCATGATAGTGCATGCCTGCACTCTCAGCAGCACACTGGAGGCTGAGGCAGAAGGATCAAGAGTTGAAGGCTGGACTACATAGCAAGACCCTGTCTCAAAGACACAAAACAAAATACCCAACTGTTTTCAAAACTATCCCTTACAAAAACAACAATACCATTCTACAAGGTCCTTGACATTGGCCCCCAATACTCCTTGCTCTTAGCCAGCCAATGGATTTCTCTCTACTAGGGGCACACTGGTCCACTCCTGCCACCTGGCCTTTGCACCTGCACACTGGTCCATTCCCGCCATCTGGCCTTTGCACCTGCTATGCTGTTTGAAGCACTCATCTTTCAGAGCTCAAGAAAGCCTGCTTGATCACCTGGTTAAATTAAGACTCGTGTGACTTCATCTCATCCCACTTACCTTACCTGAAAGACTATCAGTGTGTCTCACTGACTCTGAAGCAAATGCCAGGAGCCTGAACCTTGTCTGTTTTGCCCCCTAGCACACAACTGGTGCTTAATAAACACTTGTGGTAGGAATCCCAGATGGAGGTAGTGCAAAGCACACTCCTGCCAGTCAGCTCCTCCACCACTCGCTCAGGCGTCTGAGCCAGCCCATCTGGCTTCACACCAACCACAGTAATGAATGACAAAGATAAAAATGGTAAGAAACTCTCATCAGTAGAGGAGACTGATGCTGTCGCTGCTGTCTTACATGAGGAAACTGAGGCAGAGGCTACAAGTGATCAGGAACCACCATTCAGTATTGTGCCTGTGCACCAAGAAACAATCACTGCCATAAACAGGATATTGCTGCATGATTTTATTACTATAAATATACAGTAAAAACAAAAAACTAGCCAGTCAGAGTACATCAAATGATAGCAGTGAGTCCAAGGCAGACTACTCTGCATCCCATCCTTCAAAATAGTGCCACTAACACTGTCCAGGAGAGGGGCGTGCATGTGTGACCCTATGGCAGGCGGTGGGTGGAAAGCAGGATATAAAGACATACTTTGCTTACCAGCTGACCCAAGGACGAGGTGTCCACCACTAGCTTTCTCCTCCTTGCATGCCACTGGGAAAGCTGGGCTCAAGCAGCACTGAGACCCAGGGAAGGCTCTCAGCCCTCCTCCCATGGACTCGGCACTGCAGCCTTCCAGGCCAGGGCACTCCACCGTCCCTGACCAAGGCGCTGCACAGCAGAGGCTTCAGGCCCCATGGAGGCCTGATCACCTGGAGCCCCTGCACTTCTCTCCAAGGCTGCATTAGCAGTGCAACATCACAGCTGGAACTATGTGGGCTTTTGGTCTCCTTTCCCCAGGCTGGTTCCACTCAAACAAAATAAGAGAAAAGCAAAGGTAAACAGAAAAGGCAACAGGCTGAGTGCACTGGCGCACGCCTGTAATCCCAGCACTCAGGAGGCTGAGGCAGGCCAGCCTGGGCTACATAGTGAGTTCAGGGGCAGCCTGAGCTATACAGCGAGACCCTGTCTCAAAAAGACAGACTAACCAAAAAAAAAAACAAAAACAAAAACAGGAAACCAAAGAAGCTGGTACACATGCTTCGCCAGCAGCAGCTGAAGAGAAATGCTACCACTCTGAAGGCATCTGAAAAAGGAGCATAGCAGTGCCTGTGAGAAAGCACAGGACATGGATACCAGGCCACAGAGAACCAACCGCTACAGATGCCAGAGGAAAGGCTGCACCCTGGGGCAGATACCTGGGTACTAAAGGGCCCAGAGCAGGTGAGCCCTCAGGTACCACAGAAGGCCACCCATGGCCACAACGATACCAGGGGGGAAGTAGCAGCAAGAGCCAGTCTTGTTCCATGTTCCACAAGGAACATGAAAGGGGTAGACAGACAGGCACTGTTTCCTTCATTCACCGTGACTTGGGCCCCCTCCCCGGTCTAGGTCTGTGAAATCAGCACATCATCCATCTCCTTTTCTGCTGGCCCCATCATCCATAACTCCTTTTCTGCCAGATTCCAGAGTATTGACACTGGTATTTGGGGAATCCCCAGGGCCAAAGGCCCAGGGTTAAGAGCTGTTGTCTTTTATCTTGTACCATTTACAAATATATCAACCATAAAAAAAGTTTGTAGAGTGGACAATCCACTGTGCTCTTTGATCAAAGGTCACCTGGCCCCTCAGAGGCTAGTGCCACATGGGGCGTGCTGACAGGAAAGGCTTGGGTCATACTGAGGTCCAGAACAGTCCCTCAGCAGAGTCTGAAGGGCTGATGGCTCCATGCTGCTAGCAGGATCAGGCTCTCAGAGTGGGGTCAGGTCAGAGGTCCCAGGGTCAGTATTGGAGCCACCAAGCGGAGGCCAGGGGGGTCCTGTGGTACTGAGGCTGTGGGGCGTCTCCATGGATGTGGACCATCCTGTGGGCAGGAGCAGAAGGAAGGTCACACTCAGCTGGTACCCTCCTCACCTGCTCCCATCAACTCAGAGCCCTGAGACAGGCAGGGCCACTCAGCACCCCTATTGTCTTGTCTGGCAGGAACAACAGACTTTTTGTGGAACTCTTGTAACCACACTGAGGGCAAGTGAGATCTGTGTCTCTTGGGTCAAATCATCCCTATAAGCCTGGCAGGGAAGCTGCAGGCCCCAAAGCCTGCTGGCCCCTCCCTCAGCCAGGGCAGCACTAGACAGATCTGTGCTGCCATGAGCTTTACCACCCAGGCTAGTGTCGGCAAACCTTTCAAGAGTTTTCAATGATACAAACAGCCCACTTCAGCACTCGTGCCATAGGTTTGCGACCACTGACATAGGCTATACACCCCTGGCCAACCAGCAGGACAGAGCAGGCACCATCCTGTGGGAAAACAAGCTGGTAGTCAGAGCCACCCCAGTGAGCAGCTTTTCCAAGGTAGAAGGCCTCAGCAGCCTGCCCACCTCCCTCAGAGGCCTGCTCTGCCCACTCTTGGACTGTCACTTCCATGCCCCATGAGGTCTGTGCTAGAGCACAGAAGACCCAGGGTCTCATACAGCTGAGGCATATTTGAATTGTTGCTTAAGGGCTGTTGAGATAGCTCAGTGGACTAAGTGCCTGTTCAGGCAAGCTCAGGGAAGAGGTTTGATCCTGGCACCACATGCCATGCTGGCCCTATCCCCAGGCAGGCTTAGCAGGCTAAGACTGTGGTGGTATATACACCTGTAATCCCAGCACTGGGGAGGCTGAAAACAGGGGGATCACTATGAGTCTGAGCTGCATAGTGAGACTTTATACCAAGTACAAAAGAAAAAGAGGGGCCAGAGA